GGATGAAACATCGGCTCTGGATCCATTCCAATCCAGCTTCCGCTCTGGTCATGGGACCAAGACGGCTCTGGTTGCCCTAACAGATGAGCTCCATAGGAAGCTGGATCGAGACGGGTGGGGGCTGCTGATTCTTTTAGTCCTGTCAGCAGCCTTCAACATGATCGATCACAAACTTCTGGACCACCACCTTGTGGGGATCCAGGGCACAGTCCTTCAATGGCTGTGCTCATTTCTCTCTGGTCAGGGACAGAGGGTGGCACTTGGGGGGGAACTGTTGTCATGCCACTCCTTGGTGTGTGGAGTGCCACAGGGTGCAATACTCTTCCCGATGCTTTTCAACATCTTTATGCGCCCCCTCACCCAGCTTGTCTGGAGTTTTGGTTTGGGCTGCCAACAGTATGCTGATGACACCCAACTCTATCTGTTGATGGACGGCCATCCTGACTAGGCCCCAGACACACTGATCAGATGTTTGAAAGCTGTGGCTGGATGGTTACATGGGAGCCGGTTGAAGTTAAATCCTTCAAAGACAGAGGTCCTTTGGCTGGGTCGGGATGATATGGGATGGGGGGGGACAACTCCCATCTCTTGCGGGGGTGCAGTTAGTGCCAGCACCGTCCGTTAAGAGTTTGGGTGTAATCTTTGACACCGCCCTTTCAGTGGAGGTGCAGATTGCAGCTATAACAAAGGCGGCATTTTTTCATCTCCACCAAGCTAAGCAGTTGACTCCTTACCTCTCTCGCCCTGACCTAGCCACAGTGATCCATGCAACGATCACCTCCAGGCTTGATTACTGTAACTCGCTCTACGCGGGGCTGCCCTTGAAGCTCATCCAGAAACTCCAGTGGGTGCAGAATGCCGAGGTGAGGCTCCTTATGGGGTCCTTGCTGTGGGATCACATTCACCCTGTGCTATACCTTCTGCACTGGCTCCCGGTGGAGTACAGGATCAGGTTTAAGGTGCTGGTTTTAACCTTTAAAGCCGAATACGACCTAGGACCCTCATACCTACAGGACTGCCTCTCCTGGTATGTCCCACGGAGGACCTTACGGTCTTCAAATAAAAACATCTTGGAGATCCCAGGCCACAGGGAGGTTAGGCTGGCCTCAACCAGAACCAGGGCTTTTTCAGCCGTGGCCCTGATCTGGTGGAACACTCTGTCACAAGAGACTAGGGCCCTGCAGGACTTGACATCTTTCCGCAGGGCCTGCAAGACAGAGCTGTTCCACCAGGCCTTTGGCCAAGGTACAGTCTGACCCCTTCTCTCCTTCTGTAATCTTCACAGAACTCTAGCCCAATGCTTGCCATTAATTTAATTTAATTGATTCTGAACTGATTTTAGAATGTATTTCAATTAATTGACTGTGATTTTATGTAAACTGTGCTATTTTTACTTTGTTAGCCGCTCTGAGCCTGGCTTCAGCTGGGGAGGGCGCAGTATAAATAAATTATTATTATTATTATTATTATTATTATTATTATTATTATTATTATTTCTTAAAGACCCCGTTCGTCCTGCTCTCTCATTTTACTAGTTAAAATAGCCATTTCTGCATATTCCATCCATTTCCTCTGCCATTTCTCCTCCTTTGTTGGAACTGGACCCTCCTTAAATTTCTGAACATATACCATTTGCTGTAGCTGCATATAAAAACTCCCCCCCCCCCCCTGATCTCTAAGGACCTCTACACTATTTATTCCTAAGAGAAAGGCTCCCAGTCCTTTTTCCAAAAGACCTTTTAAACAATTTTCTTTCCATTTCATTGTATATCATCTCCCAGAAGCCCTTGGACATTTTACATATCCACCATATATAAGGCACCTTCCTTCTCTTTACATTTCCAGCAGGTATCTGATTTGTACATTTTTGCTAACCTACTAGGTGTCAGGTACCATCTATATATCTTTTTCATAAAATTCTCTTTTAATGTATAACATGCTAGAAATTTTAAATCTTTTTTCCATAATTTCTCCCACACACTGAACTTTATAGTATGTCCTAAATCCCTCATACAATGTTGGAATGTTGGAATGTTGTGTCCACAGCCCTTGTGGCCTTTGTAGCTTCCGTCTGGAGCCACACGCTTCCACTCTCAGCACTTTCTGCTCACCTCTCCGGTCCAGCTACTTCAGCAGAGTATACGCAGCTTTTGCTGTTGCTGTGTGTGTGTGATAAATCAGGCTACATGCACAGTGTCTGCTTATCTCCTAAAAGTCTTTATTCGTGTAGAAAAACAGCTCTTAAATCTTTCCTGGCGACCGAGCACTCATCTTGCTTCCTCTCCGGAGCAAACCGAAACAGAACTGAGACACAGGAAAAAACACTCCCCTCAGTAAACCACACCCCAGAATGTGAGGCGTCACACAGAGCCTCTTAATCCTGTAGGCTCTGATTCTTTCCACATGTATCATAGCTGATTTTACCAGTTCATCCTTTGTCTCCCATTCTAGAGGTAACTTATACATTTTGCTTTTTGTTTTTTTAAATAATTTTTATTAACAGGCCAATCACATCACATTATCATATCACATTAGTTCCAAATTATACAGCCAAATTTTAAATTTTGTTGGGGGTGCCCATACATCAAGCTCCGCTCGAGTCCAAAACAGCATCACTTATCTTACTGCTTTCATTAGACAGTTCTGTCCAGTTTGATCCGGATAGTCCTTTATTACTTCATTTCTCTTCTTGTTGTTATCATAAATTCCTTTCTTTGCGATCTCTGATTATTTTCACAAGCAGGTTGAAAGCTGGCATTCTATGTGGATTTTTGTACTCTTCCAAAAATCATGTCGATCAGGGACAGCCTCTGTACAATGCTTCCATACACAAGATTAGTCTCCGATCTGTCCTTTATTTTTCAAATAAATCGAATGAGTCTGGGGGCTCTGTCAGGTCAAACTTGCATTCCAACATTCCTTCTCATTCGAACAGTCCTGATTCTCCTCCCCCAGTCCTTCCTCCTCCAACAAGCCTATCTTAGCAAGACACCATATTTTAACTGCGTCATAAGAATTTTCCACTTTTCTCACCATTCTCCAGTCTTCTTTCCTGTTTTAATCCATCCCACATAGTTCTTAAAATCCTGCCTGTGATACATAAAAATGCAATGATCTTGTTTCTATCTGGGGTGAAGGGTTATTTATGTCACATCATGCAGGGGAAAAAAGAGTTTTTTCCTCCACCCCACCCCTTCGTTCCAAACATACAGTCTCCTTGTGGTAATTCATCAGAAGATTTACTTATCCGTCCGTCACTCCTGGTCGCAGAGATCCATTAATCAGCAGTCTTATCTTCGAGCTTTACTTGATGTATGTGCTTTCAGCTTCATTTCCAATCATATGTTTCCAATTATAATTCCAAGCTGAAGCAACCAGCACGTGCTAATTGGAATCGGCGTCAGGAAGATCTGACTTCACCGAGGGCCTGTGCCAAGTGTTTGGCACCCCCATCACTCGTATCAGGGGGTGCATTGTGAACACCGCTGGCAGGGCAAAGCCCCCCCCCCCCCGCATCCTGGGGGGCTTAGGAAGGCTGCATACTTCCCATAGCAGCCCCTTAGTACCTCGTATGGGTCAGAGAGATGTTATTGTCAGCCATCTTCCAACGCGCCACCTGGTGGCCCCCGGTAACTTATACATTTTGAACTGCCTGTAAGCTCCCTTTCAAATTCAGAAATTTGATTCATAAATCCATTTCATTTATCCTATCGGAAAGCTTCATTTAATTGATAATGTTGTAGCCAATCCATCACCCCCACCCTGATTTCTTCAAATTTCTTTAATTTTATCTCTTGCTCTGAAAAGTCCAAGCAATCTCTGTACATTGCCCAATGTTGTTCTGTATTCTGTCTTTTCAGAGAAATTGCTTCTTTGGGTGGGAGCCATAAAAGTGTTTTCATTTCCAGCAGGTTTTTATATTTTTCCTATACCCTATAAAGGTTCTGTCTAACTGCATGGTTCATGTAACTCTTAGGTGTTTTAGCTTTATCATACCATAGATATGCATACTGGCCAAAATTATTACCATGTCGCTCTAAGTCTAGCAACTGAATAATCTTCAGTATTAACCACTCTTTCAACCAACAAAGTCATGCAGCCACATAATAGAAACATAAGTCCGGCAGTAAGAATCCATCACTGTCTTTAATATATCTCAAATCTCCCTGGACATCTGTGATGCTGGCACTCTCCCTCATTGCCCAAATGCCAAAGTCCATGTCTTTCACACTGTCTTTGGCTTTCCTCGGCATCACAAGTGAAATAAAAGGAAAGGAAATGTATCTCTCTCTCTTTCTTTCTCTCTCTCTCTCTCTCTCGTGTGTGTGTGTGTGTGTGTGTGTGTGTGTTTGCATATATCCAGTTTCTGAATAAGCTAGTCTATTAAATCTGCAAGCTCCTCTGGACAGAGACTTGCCCCCCCCAGGCACCAGCTCTTAGCTGTTACCAAATAATCTTTAGAAACAAATGCACAAATTCTTTTCCCCAAACACAAGTGCTTTTAATGGGATGGAGGAAATCTAGACTTTGAGTCACTGTGCATTTTATTACTGTACAACAAAGGAAACTGGACAGACACTTGTCTCCCCTTACCAAAAATAAATAAATCCGTGATTCTGACTATCAGAGAAATCTGGCAAAATTGCCTGGACTTCTGGAGATCTAATCCAATTTCACTGCTGAGCTTTGAATTCTAGTGTAACCTGATGGGACTTGTTTTCCCATATCCAGGGAGGTGAAATTGAGGCTGGCAGAGAGACGTGTCCTTGGAGTTACTGGAAGGGGAAAGAGATCTAATTTGTTTTCTACACTGTGCTTTATATTATGCTATAGCACAATTAGAATTCTAGCAATTTGTCCTGAATCCATTGTTCCTGGTGCTGGCAAAGTGCTCCTTGCAAGCTTCTATAAATTCCTCCAACTAAGCCTCTTCGTGCATCAGTTCCTTGCTTGGCCCAGTGCTGTTCTCGAACTCCTTCCTGGCTCTTCAGCTCTCTAGAATGGTGAAGACACTCCTGATCTCCTGCCTCCTCTTGGCCCTGCTTCCTCCAGGTGAGCAGAACCACAGCTGCTGTGCTGTTCATCCTGTTTCCAGGAACTAAGCGGGGGGTCAGCCATTAAAGCAGGACAAGGAAGGAACCAGGACTTGTGGTTCCTTTAAAAGGGAGAGGAATAAAGCACAAGGCCAAACAACAAAGGATCCTCATTCATAGATTGCTTGTTCCCAATATTTATATTTCTTTTTATTTAACGAAATGCGTACAGAGAGGTGTGGTACCAGAGTCTGCCATGCTTGCTGTAGCTGATGGGAGCTGTACTGCAGCAACTTCAGGAGGGTCAAATATTTCCCCACCCCTGCCCTACAGATCCTCTCCCTCAGCCTGCAGGAGCCACCTGGGACAACCATTCTCTGGTGTGTCCAAGGCCCGCCCCCATCCACAGAGTTTAAGAACTACAGGGGAAATATAGATAAGGAAGCATTGTGTAAATGAAAAATGGCCCATCTAGTCCAGCATTTTGTTCTTGCCATGGTGCCTGTGGAAAGCCAACAAGCTGGAGCAGAGTGCAACAGCTCCCTTTCTGTAGTTTCCAGAAACTGGTATTTAGAAGCATAGTGCCTCCACTGTTGAAGAAAGAATATTTCCACTGAGGACAGTAGCCAGCAACATACTCATTGTCCCCCATTAAGCCCTTGTTGAAGCCATTCATGTTGGTGGCACTCCCTGCCTGTTATGAGGTGGACATCATAGGAGGAACTGTCATGTTAATGTACCTTTATACAGACCTATTCCTCCCCCTGTCTGCAGTGGCATCTCTGATATGTGACACTTGTTGGAATCGAGGAGATCTTTGCGAAAACCCCACAGATGCGTTTTGTAACTCGTACAGTAACCAGTCCTGCATGTCAGCACTTGGAGAAAGCAGTATATGTAAGTGAGAAGAACTTTAAACTTTTGGACCACCAAAACATAAACCCCCAGGGTCATGTTCTAAAGCCATATCTTAGCTACAAACCATGGGATATGGCTTTTTCACAAAGCAGTGTTTTAGAGCCTGCACTGGATGTAGGAACCAGAGGGAAATTTAAGTCAGTTCATATTTAAAGGTGAGTTTACCTAATGGGCACTTTCCAAAACAATAGGCAAATCAAATCAAAGCCCTCCTTCAACATTTGCACTTCTCCCATTTTTGCAATTCTAGTTGTCCAGCCGCGTAACAAGTCCAAAAAATGCACATACTAAGGCAAGGTGTGCATATAAGACCCTACCTGCACTCCAAATTTAAAGCAGTGCCACACTACTGGGAACAGTCATGGCTTCCCTCAAAGAATCCTGGGAACTATAGCCTGTTAAGAGTCCTTAGACCCCCTATTCACCTCACAGAGCTATATTCTCAGAGTGGCTTAAGAGTCAATCATTTTCCACTGGTAACTGTCACTTTTCCATAGAAATAGTGTTACACACCCTTAACATCAAGGCGGCTTACAACAGGAAAGGATTTCCATGATTACAAGCATAAGAGCAGGGCAGCAGCTAGGGGGTGATGAGGAAGGCCCCAGCCAGGGGCTCTGGGAGGGGGGCACAAAATGGGCTAAAAAATAGGTCCATAAATATGTCTATAAATAAAAATATTGATTATTGCCTCATAAGAAAAGGTTTTAAATAGAGGGTCTTTATATGATATGTGGGGACCCTGTCTGTGGCTAGGGGGAGCAATTTGTCCATGGCTAGGGGCCACAATCTGGACGGTCCTGCCAGGGGCGCAAAATCACCTGGCTACAGCTCTACATAAGAGAAGTAGTCATAAACAATAAAACATGTCAAAAAGTATACAATAAAATTGAACAATTTCCAAATAAATCATAAGAGCTAAAAATATAGAATACCAATTAGTATCAGTTACAGCAACAACAAAAAACAAGCAATACAGAAAACAAACTCAAGAGTTTGTTCAGCAGCCTCAGCTTTTGTAGTTGGAGTCAGTCAGTCAGGGTCCCACCTCCCAGGCCAAGTGAAAAAAGGCCTGCAAGGCAGCGAGCAGGTATGCCAGGACTCACAACCAAGATGGTCAACAAACCTCCTGTTCTCCCCATGCAAGGAGCTATGGCTGCTTAAAGCAGTATCACCCTGAAAATAGGGCCTAAAGAGGGTGGGTCACATTAAAATGTTGGTGAATTTTCATGAAGACTTTAAAAATGTAGGAAACTGATGTGAAAATGTGGAGACATGAACTTAAAACAAGAACTCAGGAAACTGAAACTGACAATTTTCCCCAATCTAACATGCTCCCTTTGTAAGCTCCACCACAGTCTCTCATCAGACCACTTTCCTGTGCTGCCATAAAGCTTTTTGCATTGATGAATTGCTTCCCATTAAGCCTCCTGAACCGATCCTATTCAATGATGGGAGGGAAGGTAGAAACTTCTGGAGGGTCAAAAGTTCTCCATCCCTGCCTCACATTCAACAAATAGATAAAACTGGAGGTCTATCTTTCCGCTGCAGGCAGGGCCAGCCCAAGACATTTTGACACCTGAGGCAAACCCTGAAATGCTGCCCATCTGTCAGGCAGGGAAGAAGGGTGACTGAATATTTACATCAGGAACAAGGGGGGGGTGGGAATCTACACTGGCGTTAAGTGGGCAACAAAGCTGGGAGGAGGCCAGCAGCACCTCCTAATTGCCAAGAGGCCACTGCAGAGGCGGAATTGGGGGGGGGGAGGGCTGCCAAGAAGGAAGCTCTTGCACACCACAGATGCAAAGGCAATAGCAGCCTGAGGGGGGTGATAAAATGGCACCCTGCAGGGGGCAGCACTTATTGCGGGGCCTGGCCTGCAGAGTGTCCGAGCCACACACCTCTCCTGAAAGTGACACGGTGGCTTGGGTGCCTGCAGGCTCCGCACCTGGGCAGATTGCCCCGCAGCCCCCCTGGGCAGATTGCCGCCCTGCCGCCCACTAGGCAGATCGCCCAGACTCCCAAGGAGGTAGCTCCACTGCTGCTCAGCAGGCAATCATCTCACCTTTCCTCGTGGGAGGGCTGGCCTTGTCTCCAGGTCTAATTATTTCCTTCCAATTCTTTCTTTTACAGTTGGTCTGAAGACACCATTTGTGTTCAAGTCCTGCATGAATGCAGACATTTGCAATGGAGGCTATTCCAGTGTCTCCATATCATCATCTTTGTACGCCCACAGCAACATCTTATGCTACGAGTCAGATTTGTGCGACAGATTTGAACCTCCCAAAAGTAAGTATCATCATCAGGAAAGATTGTCTCCCAAACCTCAAGTAATGAGAGGTCAAAGAAAGACAAACAAGTTTTTGGCAGGTGTTTGGCAGGCCTTTGTTTCTCGATTTTACAAATAGCCCTGAATCTGGCAGAACAGTTCCCAACTGCATTTAAAATGGTTTTGTCTTTTTGAGAGAAAAGAGGGTCAACCAAAGAAGACTCAGATGAATCAAGAAAAATGAAATGTGGATCTATTTAGTGGGGGGGGTTGTTTTTGTGTGTGTGTGTGTGTTTTTGCTTGTAGGTTGCGTGTCGAGGTCCCCAAGCCACCCCCCAAATAACTCACAACGCACACTTAATTTTTGTTTAAGGTTTTTGGCATAATTTTGGCCACAACTTTATTTAAATACAAAACCGTGAGTGGTTGTTTAGGCATTGGTTAAGACTATCTGTCCCCCCCGCCTGGGGACAGAACTGACTTCCGGGCACCACCGAAAGACAGTGCGGGGGAAAGCAAGTCGGGGAGAAATGGAGCTGAGTCACAGACCCTCAATTCTCACCCGCATGCTCCCCGAAGGCTTGCCGGCCCTAGTCCCATTCCAGGGATTGGACGAAAAGATGGCAAGCCCCAGGATTCCTTTAACGGAATTCCCTTTCCACAGCAACCATGGAGGGGCAGGCCCAGCCTATCCTAACCCCTCCTCCACCAATTTATAACCAATGCCTAACCGCAACCTTACAAGTTGTGACGATTTGCTACGCAGTAGGCAAAAACCAAATGGCCCAGCCAATCTGCCAGATGGACAAAATTCCTACCAGGCCCCTGCCCCAACAGCAGACGACCCCATGACAGGCATAGCAAGGTCAATGCAACAACCCCTTACTCAAGGGCGGGTGGGCGGGTGATCCGTTGCACGCAGCAAAGAGAAAGCTCCAGGCTGTGTGCAGAGTATTTAAACATTTTACCCCTCCCACCAAAATTGCAACATAACTTTTACCCCAGCAACCCAGTGAACCAATCACTGCCCCAGGCCATCTTTAGAGACCCTACCTGGTAACAGAGGGGTGGCTCAGCAGACCCCACCGCAACACATGCTCTCCATGAAGGAGAACACGCTTTATAAATAATGATGTGCCGTGTAAAGGGAAAGTAAGGATTGAATATTAGGAAAGATCAAATATTATGTCAAACAGAAGATTCTTCGTTACAGGTAGGTAGCCGTGTTGGTCTGCCGGAGTTGAAACAAAATAAAAAAATTCCTTCCAGTAGCACTTTAGAGACCAGCAAAGTTTGTTATTGGTATGAGCTTTTGTGTGCATGCACACTTCTTCAGATAATATATTGTCCATTTTGGAAGTATAACCTGACTCTGCTATTCAGCGGAGGGAAGTTGTTTATGATGATGATGATGATGATGATGAATTATATACAACCCTATACCCAAAGGTCTCAGGGTGGTTCACAGAAAAGATCACAATATATATATGTCAGGGGTTCAGGGACAGAGGCACAGGTGAGGGAGGAGACGGAGAGCGAGGGGGAAGAATCCCAGGACAGCGAGGAAGAGGATGACAATGACTTGAGGGATTCCATGAGTCTTTCAAGTGATTCGGAGGATTCCCAGAAAGGGGCGCCTGTGCTAAGGCCAAGGAGAGTCACAGGGGGGACTCGTCAGGAGCAGGGGACCAGCAGGGGAACCCAAAGTGGGAGCTGGGAGTCGGGACCGGCTTCTCCGCCAGAGCGCAGTGAAGGGGGTGGAGATTCCAGTGTGACAGGGGAAGCAGATCCGAAAGCAGAGAGGGAGGGAAGATCAGAGCAAGACATCCTCCCGGAAAGGGAGGGGAGTAGTGCAGGGAGTAGTGTAACTGTCAAGAGGAAGGTTAGAGGTTGCGAACGTGCGGACGTGTGGAGGCGCGTGGAAGGACAGGGAGCCCGGAGGAGGAGCCAGGTCCCAAAGCACGCAGGAGGGGGGAAGAGCTGTCTGGGGATTCAGCGTCAGGGGAATCCAGGAGGGGCGAAACCCCAGGGGGCAGGAAGACCCTGCGGAAAAGGAAAGAAAGGAAGAGGTGGAGCAGCACAGCCCTCTTAAACTGGTGCAGAGGAGGGACTGACTCAGAGGGGACTTCAGCGGTCTAAGCGTAACAGACGTGGGGCTGCGCGCCTCGGCTGTGGAGCGTACAATACACTGCAATAAACATCTTTGTATATAAACTGGACTTGGCGTTGGTCTCTTGTGAGCTGGGACCTGAGGCAGCCCTGACAATATATAATCAGAATTTTAAAATAACCAATAACACACTCCAGAAAAGAGCCACATTTTAAAAGTATATAGGATGTCAAGCAGATGAACCGAAGGTTAAAAAGGAACGTTTTTGCCTGGTGCCTAAAGGAGACATTCCACAGACAAGGATCCACTGCAGAGAAGGATGATGTGCACCAGGTACAGACACAGGCCTGTATCACCATCCTTTTCAAACTAGAGACAGAAGCTGGGGTTAGGATTTGAACCAAGAACCCCAAAGCTTGAAGCTATGCTGGGCTGGAGCCTGGCTTAGTGAGCTACCATGAATTGCATACTGAGAGCCTCAGGTGCAGAGGAAGATAGGAATAAGAGCACACCAGGCAGTGCAAACTGGTAAGGCAGTATGATACCTCTGGATTAGCCAGGCTGTTCTATAAATATCAGGAATGTGGGGTCCTGCCTTTGCCAAAAATAGAGTGCATTCTAAGAGGATACAGTGGTACCTCGCAAGACGAATGCCTCGCAAGACGAAAGGGTTTTTTGTTTTTTGAGCTGCTTCGCTAGACGATTTTCCCTATGGGCTTGCTTCGCAAGACGGAAACGTCTTGCAAGTTTGTTTCCTTTTTCTTAACACCGTTAATACAGTTGCGACTTGACTTCGAGGAGCAACTCATAGCACGCGGTGTGGTAGCCTTTTTTGAGGTTTTTGAAGACTTTGGTGATTTTTGAAGCTTTTCCAAAACTTTTCCGACAGACGAAAAAAATCGCAAGACGACAAAACTCGCGGAACGAATTAATTTCGTCCTGCGAGGCACCACTGTATCTACATTATTTAATAACATAGCATTGTAAAAGGGGAAAAAATTGCTGAGAGAACAAAACCAAAAACCATGTTTAAATAACAAGATTACTTGAACAACATGCATCATCCATTAGCAAAAATTATAAGGGAGCTTCACAGTTTTACCTCATTCCTAGAAACACCCCTGGCATGTCACAGTCCCTCTCCTGCAGCAGCTTCTGATATTTACAACCCTATTCCTTCCTCCAAAGAGCCCTCATGCTCTCCATTTTAGCCTCAAACACCCGTGTAAAATAAGTCAGGCTAAGGGGCAGTGTCTGGCCCCAGGTCACCCAGCAAGTGTTGTGGCTCAAGTACAGATTTGACCTCTGGTCTCCTCCCACCCTTGTTCCTGATGTAGATGTTCACATTCCCTTGTTCCTAATGTAGACCTTCACTCACCCCTCCTTCCTTGGTGGGAGGAGGCACCATTTTGTGGTCGCCTTAGCATTCCCAACACCCTGGTGTATGCTTTTATTGTAAACACTACAACAACATTAGGACAAGGAATTCTGAGAGCGGTAGTTTATTAAGGGTGCTGAGAGTTGATAGGAAAACCCCTATCCCCCTCACAGAGCTACCATTTAGCAATCAATCCCCACATAGTAGCTCTTATTAGTTAGCATTCTTTGTTAGGTGAAATTATAATTTTATCTAGAATTAAGCCCATCTTTTTCCAGAATAGGTTTTTTTAAAAAAATCAGAAAACTGTTGAGAGTTTTATTTTTCTTCCCCTTTCTAAGAAAGAGAGCCATTTTGTAAAATTTTGTCACCAGTTTGTGTGTATCTGTAGCTACCATTTTGTCGCTCAGAATGCCCCCAATGGTGCTCAGTGCTAAGCCCAATTGCTTAAAACAGTATCCCTGTGCTTGAAATGTATGCTGTGAATGTGGCCCCAGTCAGAAATCTCTTGCCCCATGCCTTAATGTAATATAATAATAATAATAATAATAATAATAATAATAATAATAATAATAATTTATTATTTATACCCCGCCCATCTGGCTGAGTTTCCCCAGCCACTCTGGGCAGCTCCCAATCAGTGTTAAAACAGTACAGCGTTACATATTAAAAACTTCCCTGAACAGGGCTGCCTTAAGATGTCTTCTGAATATCAGGTAATTATTTATCTCTTTGACATCTAATGGGAGGGCGTTCCACAGGGCGGGCGCCACTACCGAGAAGGCCCTCTGTCTGGTTCCCTGTAGCCTCACTTCTCGCAATGAGGAACCGCCAGAAGGCCCTCGACGCTGGATCTCAGTGTCCGGGCTGAATGATGGGGGTGGAGACGCTCCTTCAGGTATACAGGACCGAGGCCGTTTAGGGCTTTAAAGGTCAGCACCAACACTTTGAATCGTGCTCGGAAACGTACTGGGAGCCAATGCAGGTCTCTCAGAACCGGTGTTATATGGTCCCGGCGGCCACTCCCAGTCACCAGTCTAGCTGCCGCATTCTGGATTAATTGCAGTTTCCGGGTCACCTTCAAAGGTAGCCCCACGTTAGAGCGCGTTGCAGTAGTCCAAGCGTGAGATAAACTAGAGCATGCACCACTCTGGCGAGACAGTTCGCGGGTAGGTAGGGTCTTAGCCTGCGTACCAGGTGGAGCTGGTAGACAGCTGCCCTGGACACAGAGTTAACCTGCGCCTCCATGGACAGCTGTGAGTCCAAAATGACACCCAGGCTACGCACCTGGTCCTTTAGGGGCACAGTTACCCCATTCAAGACCAGGGAATCCCCCACACCAACCCGCTCCCTGTCCCCCAAAAACAGTACTTCTGTCTTGTCAGGATTCAACCTCAGTCTGTTAGCCGCCATCCATCCTCCAACCGCCTCCAGGCACTCACACAGGGCCTTCACCGCCTTCACTGGTTCTGATTTAAAGGAGAGGTAGAGCTGGGTGTCATCTGCGTACTGATGAACACCCAGTCCAAACCCCCTGATGATCTCTCCCGGCGGCTTCATATAGATATTAAAAAGCATGGGGGAGAGGACAGAACCCTGAGGCACCCCACAAGTGAGAGCCCAGGGGTCTGAACACTCATCCCCCACCACCACTTTCTGGACACGGCCCAGGAGGAAGGAGCGGAACCACTGTATGACAGTGCCCCCAGCTCCCAACCCCTCTAGACGGTCCAGAAGGATGTTATGGTCGATGGTGTCAAAGGCCGCTGAGAGATCCAGCAGAACTAGGAAACAGCTCTCACCTTTGTCCCTAGCCCGCCGGAGATCATCAACCAGTGCGACCAAGGCAGTTTCAGTCCCATGGTGAGACCTGAATCCCGATTGGAAGGGATCCAAATGGTCCGTTTCCTCCAGGCGTGCTTGGAGTTGTTCAGCAACCACCCGCTCAATCACCTTGCCCAAGAATGGCAGATTTGAGAGTGGGCGATAGTTGGCCAAATTGGCCGGGTCTAAAGATGTTTTTTTAAGAAGCGGTTTAATGACCGCCTCTTTCAGCGGGTCTGGGAAGGCTCCCTCACAGAGGGAAGCATTCACCACCCCGCAGAGCCCATCGCCCAGCCCTTCCCAGCTCGCTTTTATCAGCCAGGATGGGCAAGGATCAAGGAGACAGGTGGTCGGTTTCACTTTTCCAAGCAGCCTGTCCACATCCTCGGAGGTAACAGACTGGAATTGATCCCATGTAACAGGACCAGACAGAACTCTAGCACTCTCCCGCCCTGGCCCTGCTCCCACGGTGGAGTCTACCTCCTTCTGAATCTGAGCGATTTTATCTGCAAAAAACTTTGCAAAAGCATTGCAGGAGATCTTGGGGTCCCTACCAGGCCCCGGTGGTACAGGTGGTTCCGATAGATTGCGAACCACCTGAAAAAGTCTCCTGCTGCTGTTTTCTGCAGATGCAATGGAGGCGGCGAAGAAGGCCCTCTTCGCCGTCGCCATTGCCACTTGGTAGGCTCGACGTTGAGCTCTAACCCGTGTCCGGTCTGATTCAGAATGAGTTTTCCGCCACCGGCGCTCTAGCCGTCTCAACGATTGTTTCATCACCCTCAGCTCCGGGGAAAACCACGGGTCTGTCCGGGCTCCATGCAATCGGAGAGGGCGCTTCGGAGCCAGACAGTCAATAGCCCTGGTTAACTCCGCATTCCAGCGTGCCACCAGGGAATCAGCTGAAAGGCCATCAACTTGGGATAAAGCATCCCCTACCACTCTCTGGAAGCCAATTGGATCCATTAAGTGGCGGGGGCGGACCATCCGAATCGGTCCCACCTTAATGTAGCCCTGAATGTGTGAAGCATGGCTGAAGCACTCCGCTTGGAGAAGTGCTGGGAACTGGTACACATCCCTCTTTGACGGGGCAGCACAACTCCTACCCCTCACATACAGCCAGATGTGGTTTGCATCTGCAGACGAAATACATTGAGTGGACCCTGACTAACAGCAACGTTGGGGTGGTGATTGTTTTACAGTGCCTGTGCGTGAGAAGAGGGAGCCCAATGGACTGAAGTGCCCAAGTTGCATCTCCCTCTCGTCACTTGATTGTGTGGCTGAGAATACCGTCGACTGCATAAATGAGGAGGATCAGTGCTTCTACTCTGCCGCTTACATCGACTATGTGGATGACTGCCAATCCAGTGAGTCTTGTGTAATGGCTAAGGCCCATCTGCACTATGCATTTAAAGCAGTATCATGCCACTTTGAACATTCATGGCTTCCCCCCAAATGCTGGGATACTTAGCTTATGAAAGGTGCTGAAAGTTATTAGGAGACCCACGATGCCCTCACCGAGTGTCAGGGATGGGCAGGAGCCCAAGGAGGAGGGATGTGTGGGCAGGGAGGTGGGCGGAGGAGGAGGAGGATACAGGGGAAGGGGCTAATGATTTCCAGGGTTCTGTGCCACCCATGAGGCTGCTCTTGGAGGAGTTAGGAGGAGGGGACCAGGAGATGGAGGAGGCTGCAGAAGAGCTGCAGGAGGTCTCCGTTTTTCTTCCCACTCACCCAAGGAGTTTGAAGAGCCTTTGGTGCTCCTAGAGAGAGTCATATAGCTTTGGAAATCTCGGGTCCCTCCTCCACTTCCAATTGTCCCGTGCATAAAAAGCAAAGGTTGGAGTGCTTTTCCATTTTCACCCAGAACGGAAAACGGCTCTTTTTCAGAAAAAGGTTGCCCACCCTTCTGTCTGAGGGAGAGGTTTTGGATTAAATAAACATGTTGTTGTTGTTTTCCAACAGGGGAAACCCACCTGATGGCGGCTATCCGAGGCTGTGCAACAAGTAATACGTGTGACTACGTTAAGGGGTTAAGGGAGGCTGATTTATATTACGTAGGAATTATGATCACTGAAGCAGAGTGCACCAAAGCAATGGACGACAATGCCAATGAGCTGTAGCTGAGGGAAGGCAAACCTCCACCACCCAGAAAAGCCCACCATTTATGGAAATTGGGACCTAGTGGTTGAAGCAGGGGTGGTCTCAGCCTGAGGACTCCCAGGCTTTCTTTCCAGAAGTCTAGAAGCTCCTCCTCAAAGACAGGCTGTATTTGACTTTCATGTGCAAATGAAGTCATTGAATCATGTCTAAAATAAATATATATGGCAAATAATGTGTGTTGTATCATTTATCCAAATGCAACATTAGTTGGGGGAAATAATAGTGCTTGGAGATGGGAGCTAGATTTCAGGTTTGAAATCCCTGGCCAGCCTTCCACGTCAAATTTAATTGTGTCCACTTTGTGCTCCCTTGTTGTCAGGGGTAGTGCATCCCGTTTCACCACAGCAGCCATGCTACGTAACCCCCACCAAAGCATCCCTTTCCACTTTGAGGCAATCAAGATCTGTGCTAATGTTAGATTTTCCACAAGCTTCAACTGGCACTGCTTGCATCCGCCTGCTGAACCAGTCCAGCTGTTCCAGAACCCTGTTGTCGCAATGGCCAGCAAGATGCCTGTGCAAAGCCTAAAAGCAGGACTGGACAGCAACACAAGTTGGTCCCATCCTGTTCCACCGCTTGTGATTCCCACCAACTGACATTCACAGGAATACTGTCTCCAACACTTGAGGAAGAACATGGCCAACTTGGTTAGTAGCCATTGTTAGCCTTACCCTCCATTATTTTCTTCTAATTCCTCAATCAAATACATCCACGTTGCTGCCCATCTTTACTTCCTGAGAGCAAATTCCAGAGTTTAACTATGTGCTATTTCAAGCAGCACTTTCTTCCATCTTTCTCAGATCTTCCAACATTCACTGCCATTGGCTGCCCACAAATTCTAGTACTGTGAGAAAGGAATAAAAGCTTTTCTCTGTCCTGTTGCACTAAAGGCTTCCTATGAATTGAAAGCTGACTAAACCTCAGGTGTGTAGGGAGCTACAAGAATTGCCCCAGCCAAAGGATCTCAGTGCTTGAGGTGCAACATAGGGGTTGTGCACTCCTCAAGGCACTTTGGGCTCACATTGCTCAGGAATCTGTGGAAATAAATATAAGCACCTTGAATGTGACCTGGAAGAAAATTGGCAACAAGTGCCACTGTCTCAGCAACAGAGTGACATGTAGGCAGTAGCCTGCTGCTTTGAGCACTCTGGCTGTTGTGTTCTGCACTAGCTGCAGCTTCTGGACCTGATACAAAGACAGCCCCACTGCATGCTGGCATAATCAAGTCTTGGAGTTACCAGTGCATGAACCCCTGTGTCCAGGCTGCCAAGCAATTGACCTATCTTCAAGACACAGAAATCACTCATTCATAAGGCCTCCATGGCATCCAGGCACCAATCCAGAGTTTCACTCCAAAACTCCAATTGACTCTTCCCAACAGCTTCATATTGATGTTCAAGAGCCACTGCACACCCTCCAACATTCCTCAGATGAAAGCATGGACATTTCTCACTCCCCACAACTGACACACACACCATTTTTGTCCCCCACCCCATGCCCCCACACAGCATTTTTTGTCAGAAGAATGGCAAGTTCCACAGCCACATCATGAACAGGACACAGCATGTATATCCTCCACTGACCTGAGAATACCCCATAATCCCAGTTTTATTTTATTTCATGTTTGGTACATTTACAAAAAGAAAAGAATGCACCATTAAATAATTTTTTGAAAGTGGCAAGATTAGACACAAACATAAAAGATTTTGGGGGGAGAAGGGAAATCTAGACTCATTGCACTCCCCCTCAATGCCGCCCAGGGAGACTTTGCCCTCTGCTTGCCCCTCAGATCCAATGCATTATGTGGGGAAGAGCCTAAGTTGTAGCAGCCACTCCTCCTTTACCTTTGTCATCTCTGCATATAATAATAATTTAATAATAAATATATTATTTATACCCCACCAGGTCTACCCCATGTGACAGAATTAACCCTTGCAATTCTTACATTTCCAACATTTTTTTGGTACATTCTTATATATTCGATCTAAGCTCTTTAGAGTTAAATAACATCGGTACATCATCTTATAATAATTAACTCTCATAATATGAAGAAGAAGATGGTGAAGGAAGAGGACATGAGCCCAATGTCACTCTCCCCACCCTCTCCATTGTGATTACCAACATCTGGGAGTCCCATTCCTCTTAGAAGAAACAATGTGAAGAATCTAAGCTGACAGTAAATTATATAGCAACATTATATATTACGCAAACATATACATAATACTAACATTGCACCAAGAAAACTCTCCCAGGACATCTGTGATGCTGCCACTCTCCCTCTCTCATTGTCCAAATGCCAAATCCACATCATTCACAATATCTTTGACTTTCATTAGCATCACAAGTGAAACAAAAGCAAAGAACGTGGAGCTGTGCTTGTGTATATCCAGTCCCAGTAAAAGATAGTCCCTAAAATCTGCAAGCTCCTCTGGACACAGACCTGCAATCCCCCCCACACCTGCTCTTAACTCTGTTGTTGTTTAGTCGTGTCTGACTCTTTGTGACCCCCCCTGGACCAGAGCATCCCAGGCACTCGTCTCATCCACTGCCTCCAACAGTTTGGTCAAACTCATGCTGGTAGCTTCAAGAACACTGTCCAACAACCTTGTCTTCTGTCGTACCCTTCTCCTTGTGCCCTCAATCTTTCCCAGCATCAGAGTCTTTTCCAGGGAGCCTTCTCTTCTCATGAGGTGGCCAAAGTATTGGAGCCTCAGCTTCATGATCTGTCCTTCCAGTGAGCACTCAGGGCTGATTTCTTCAGAATGGATAGGTTTGATCTTTTTGCAGTCCATGGGACTCTCTTAACTCTAACCAACTTATTTATAAAGAGCAAGTGGACCAATTCTGTACCCCAAACAAGTGCATTTAATGGGACAGAGGAAATCTAGATCATGAGTCACTGTGCATTTTATTACTGCACAACAATGGAAACTGGACAGACACTTGTCTCCCCTTACCAAAAATAAATAAATTTGTGTTTCTGACTATAAGAGAAATCTGGCAAAATTGCCTGGGCTTCTGGAAATTTAATCCAATTTCACTGCTGAGCTTTGAATTCTGGTGTAACCTGATGGGGCTTCACTTCCTGGGTGGTGAAAATAAGGGTGCCACATGTTGAAGGGGGGACATGTCCTTGGAGCTCTTGGAAGGGGGAAGAGATTGATTTACCACAAATGCAACTACATTTAATGGGAGTGAGGGGATCCGGGTCACTGTGCATTTTATTACTATGCCACAAGGGAAACTGTGGACAGACATTTGTCCCTCTTTCAAAAAAGTTCATGCTGTCAGGGAAACCATCTTGGCTTCCAGAAACCTAATCCAATTTCAGTGCTGTAACCTGATGGGACTCGTTTCCCCACATCCAGGGTTGATAAATTGAGGCTGGAACAGATTAGGAGGGACGTGTCCTTGGATTTCTTGGAAGCGGGAAGAGATTTAATTGGTTTTCAACACTGTGCTTTACATTATAGTATAGCATGATTAGAATTCTAAAAATTTGTGACACTGTCCTGAACCCATTGTTCCTGGGTACTGCCAAAGTGCTCCTTGCAAACCTCTACAAATTCCTCCAACTAAGCCTTAGTTCCTTGCTTGTTCTCGAACTCCTTCGTGGCTCTTCAGCTCTCAAGAATGATGAAGACACTCCTGATCTCCTGCCTCCTCTTGACCCTTCTGAATCCAGGTGAGCAGAACCACAGCTGCTGGGCTGTTCATCATGTTTCCAGGAAGGAATTAAGGAATTAAGTGAGGGGGGGGGATCAGCCATTAAAGGAGGAGAAGAAAGGAACAAGGACTTGTGCTTCCTTTGAAAGGGAGAGGAATGGATGAGACAGTTAAATCTGCCATGATAAAATGGGCACAGGATATTGGACACAACATTATGTTTGAAGACTGGGAAAGGTTATGGAACACCGGTATGAAGTTTACGGCATGTAATGCCCTGAAAGAAAACATTATGAAAATGATATACCGGTGGTACATGACCCCAGTCAAGTTAGCTAAGATATACCACTTGTCTGATAATAAATGTTGGAAATGTAAGGAGGCAGAAGGGACATTCTTCCATCTTTGGTGGACCTGCCCAAAAGTGAAGGCCTTCTGGGAAATGATTTATAACGAGTTAAAAAAGGTATTTAGGTATACCTTTCCCAAGAAACCAGAGGCCTTCCTATTGGGCATGGTGGACCAGAAGGTGTTAAAGAAGGACAGAACTTTGTTTATGTACGCTACTACAGCAGCAAGAATTCTTATTGCAAAGCACTGGAAGACTCAAGATTTACCCACGCTGGAGGAGTGGCAGACGCAGTTGATGGACTACATGGAATTGGCTGAAATGACTGGCAGAATCCGAGATTTGGGCGAGGAAACAATGGAAGAGGACTGGAAAAAATTCAAGGACTATTTGCAAAAATACTATAAGTTGTACGAATGTTAAGAAATACGCACGATTAGGAAATTTTTTGCTTTAGCAACTTGATTAGGTAAACTGAAAATTAAGACAAGAAAAAAGAGGGGGTAATATGAAACAACTTTATTATGTTAACTTTAAATGTACAAAGTTGGGATATAATATGGTGAATTTAGAAACATAATAACTGAAAGATGCAGTAAGTTAAGAAACAAGGTAACAAATTGCTGAAACTTTTATTGCAAAGAACGCAGAATCTGGAGGATGCGGGGAAGTCCATTTGGAATATTGGAAAAATCATTGAAAGTTGGATTGTAATGATCTTTTTATCATCTTTATTTTGTTTTTGTTTCTTGTATTCTTTTACTCCAACCTTGTGTCTATGACCCTAAGAAAAGAAACTCAATAAAAAATATTTTTAAAAAAAATGAAAGGGAGAGGAATAAAGCATATGGTCAAGCTACAAGGGATCTTCAATCAGGATAATTTGTTCCCAATATTTATATTTGTTTTTATTTAACCAAATCCATACTGAGAGGTGCAGTATCC